CGCTATAATTTTGCTCTATCGCAAATAGTTTTCTAATGCTGACTGGCATCCAAATAAAGTATTCAATTTGTATGGGAACGCTCAGTTTTCTAGTCCGAAAACGTCACAGTAGATAATGTATCATATTGTCGATTAAATACATTGAATCGAAACCATATAAAATGTTTTGTATCCCAAATGATTGCCTTTTTCTTATTCAAGTGTTCTACGGTATCAATCCAAAGCCCGTTCTTTGTTCCAGACGACAGTTGCGAGTGAAGAATAACATTTTATGTTGATTTGGCGATGATAACTCTCTAAAGGAGCCACTTCCTATATTTTACAACGGAAACGATTCCTAGAAAAGATTAAATAAGAAACCAAAAAAGACTAAAAAAATAGGAACAACTTTCAGCTAGTTAATAAATCCTGTATAGCTGCCTTCTTGTACTTGGTGAGACTCAAATTATCATCCATAAACTTAATCGTAGGTCGTCCATGCCATTACATTGACGCAGAATTATGATTATACCTATGGCATGCTTAATTACTTAAGTGTACCTAACTATGCTTCTTCAGCCGGGGACATAGCCATCCAAACCACCAAGAAAACAGAGGTATTAGGACATTTCAGTCAAGTACTGTCCGAAATGATGATCCATTAGCTGCAGTACACACGCAGTCATTTAGTAAACATTTTTTTCTCATATTTATCCGTATCTCGAGATCCTTTTGACAAAATTGTTGCATTTGGTATTTGTAATAGGACCATGGCCTAGTATAAGCTATGCACTCTAGCTTTGCAAATATTTACAAACAGCTTTTGGTATTTCTAAAACTAAATAGGAGTGCTAAACAACATCAAGAATAGTGGAGCTAATAAAACCCGAAAAGGTTTTACCTACCTTATGAAAATAAGAAGCATCCGCAGTGGTATTATAATTTCGTATGGTTGATGAAACACTGCAACGTAGACAAGAGCCGGAAAGCCCGAACAAAACTGAAATAAATGTCCAGATTTTTAGCGAAAACTAAAAAAAAATACCTTCAACTAGTAGGTAGAATAGAATGGAAAAAGTGTGTAACTCACTGCCCTTCTCACTTGGTGCCCCTAAAATTATAACATTTAGTTATGCACGATTTTGAAGTCACAAACTGCCAATCTACTATACTGTTCAAACAGAGTCTGTTCCAGTATGTGTCTGTTTTCTTGACCCAAATCGCCTTTCTCTTGCATATAGTACTCGATTTGAACTTTTTTCTGAGCCGCTATACTTTCGTCTTGCGTTGGACTGCGCGTGATATTAAACTGATTGGAGGAATATCCTTTTCCGGATTGTAGTTTCTTTTCCCATAGAGCTAATTTGAGAAACTTGACTATTTTCTGTGATTGCTTCTGAAAATTTCTTGAAGGTTTGTATTTCGAGATTGTTTTTTTTTATTTCGAAGTTTTGCTGACAACATTACAGTGTATAGGATAGAATTTTCGATTTTTTATTTCGAAGCGCTATGGTTGTTCTGTGATATAGTGGTATTCGAACATTAAGTGAAACAACATTAATTAATAAATAAAGTGGTGGTGTGCTAATCAATGGGATTTGAAAAAGGGAACAATAGAAATATACGCCAGTGATTATAGGAGTATGTGTCTTAATCTGTACACATAGACTTACGTGTGTCTGTATATTCTCCTTATTATATTAGTAATGATTACTGAAACGACTATAGCGGCAAAACTTGGGTCAATGCCAACCAGTTATTATTTTAGTAGTTCAATTACTTATTATTTTTATTTATCTACCTCAAAGCTTGAGAGTTTGTCAATAGAGGTTTTATACTGCCTTATTTCATAATGTGTTTTACTGCATATACTGTATGTTTCTAATTTCCCTATTCAAATATTGCTTATCTTTTTGCCAGAACTGATTCAGTCGTTTTGCTGTAAGAATAGAATGCGTATGATTCTGTACGCACGTACTAAATGGATGTTTCTATCTTAGTGCGTGCTAGTAATTCTTTAGATATAGATTTTCATAGGCTTAATGGAGGAAAGACACAGCTTTGAATTGCTGGGCAAGGCATATTTGTCTGTCGACTCTGGAGGAGCGAAAATGCTATGTATATTGTTTTTTTTTTTCTTTCTAAAATACGCACATACTTAACAGTAGTCGTTTACATATGATGATATTCACATGCGTGGTGTATGTTAGACTTTCAATCTCGGCCTGACGCCGCAATTATCATCTGTTACAGTAGACCTATTCTTTCTGCCATGTAACTGATCATTTGCCACTAGAGTATTTCTTATTTTGTTTTCATGAGTAATTTTATACTTAATAATATTATTAATTACTTCGTGGCTTCTAATATATGTAAAAAAAACTGCTAATTGATATTATGCCTAGCTATTCTTTGTCATCTAGAGCCAGATCGTGATAAACAGATGAGTAGGTAGGTTTGTTGATATGTTTTTCGTTGTTTTTAATCGCGGGAATGAGGCATAATAATACAATTGCTGCCTATTGCCGTAACGTTTTGTGTCGGACGCATGTTTAATTCTAAAAAGATGATGCAGGCTATAAACGAAGAACTGCTTTCGAGTTTTTTTTTTCTTTCCAGCAACGTAGAGAAAAGCTAGCATATATTTCAAAGTTATAGTTGTCTTCCATCCAGTTTAGTGGTTACGACGGTGAGATCGAATCGCAGAATCGTGTCAAAAACGCCACCGCTATCCCAACCTGTTTCTAGAGAATGCGGCTTTTATTATAACACTGTAAGTATTTTTGATGCTGTTAACCTCCTAAATCTTTTACAATGATTAATATTTGCCATGTATATGAGTATAATATATGAACAAATCGTTCGCGTACTTCAATATGACAGTAATAGCACGAATCGAGGCCGATCTTTTACATGTGAGCTCATCCGCAATAAGTGCTATAGGAATTTATGAAAACACCTATCGTTAAAATGTATTCACATCTACTATTTTATCTTACCTACTATAGGAAATAGTGTTTAAACCCATATATTCATATATTGAAAGATACATCGTATTGAAGATCATTACAACAACATGGATCCGAATGGACTTCCTGTATATTCCTGTGCATAGTCTTCGTTTACTGGTTACTACCGAAGTTTTGCTACTATTGATTCTTGTTACTCTATTGATTTTGCCGTTATCATTATCAGTGTATCTGGGTTTCTCTGTGAATAATTGCGTAGATGAAAACTTTGCATTCGTCCAGCAACGGATCAAGACGCTGCATTTCTAGTTTTGAGGCCAGAGACTGTATTTATTCATTTCATTGCAGGTCATAGGCATCTGCGTAGAAATGTCGCTTAGCTTTAAGACGCTGCTGGGATACACCCCTAATACGGGTCGATGCCATGGGCTGTAAAAACAAGACTAAAAGTAGTGAAATCACTTTGAATAGACAGGGTAAGACGCTTGCCACAACTCAGCGTAGACATAAGCATAAGCTGTGTCGCTCGCGTTTCGTGTATTTCGAATAGATCCAGTGCAAAAAGCGCCTTTGTCTCGCCCTACAATTCTGCATCGAGCTAGTCGGGGCACGACGACCTCGGTGATATATGAATTACACGGTATCTATCTGTAGTGCTATCTCACCACGCCTAGATGTGTCGTGTTTGGTTGCTAGCGTAATCGCGTGTACTTCATTTGAATGCGTATAACTAGCGTCGCACTGAATAACAGCCTTCCCATCTTTATGCTCGGGTTAGTAGGAATGCATAGACAAATTGGTTATAGCGTGCTTCGTGCTATTGATATTTGTGACTCGCTCTGACTAGAGGATTTTCGTCGACAATTCAAGAAGGTTGACTTGAATGAATCGTTGAAGTCATCGAAGCGCCGTGCGTACTATTTCCTGTAGCTCCTACTGGTCCAGCGAACTTGCTATGCATAATCGGCCGTACAAGCAATAGAGCGGAATCTGCAGACAAAATTGGCAGTTGATTATCCCGGTGGAAATGAATCAGATGGGAGACACTTGAAAACGTGCGATCCTTCGTCCGAACCTGAGAAAAACACAAGCGATATTGATATTTAATATTTTCCTTTGAAGTATGTCATATAGGTAGATAAGATGTACATTTCGTGTTCCATTAAATTATACTTAAATTTCATAAAATCAAATAATCACGCTACTTACCACTCCATGCGGATCAATTAGGAGTAAGTGTCGACCTTGTCCTGCTTGCAATCCTGTGAGGACGAACTGGCCACGCTGTCCTCGTGATTCGCGTACAAGGAAGTCTCCGTCACGTGCCAAGAGTTTTTCGCTTTCAGCCCGTGAAATTGCACCATGATACCAAGGCTCCATCTACAAAGCAATACAGTAATAGATTGATAACTACAATTTAGAACTTCAAACACAAGCACAGTTATGATGGTTATAGCTGTCCTAACCCCGTGAATGCTGCCAGGTGCTAAATTGGCACACGGAAGTACCATGAAACAATGATGATCGCTTTTGCCATTTACGGTGATCAGTTTTGCACACGTACCAGTGAAAATTAACGCTGACTTATCCAATGTTTTGTTCTGTAAGTATGGCACTATATGGAACAAGCTTCGAAGAGTGTCGTTTTCAGAAGCAACTTATAGATTAATATGTGTAGTCATGCCCCTTTCCCTGTATTATTCAGTTTGCCGTAATTACGTTTCAGAAGAGGCGTCTCTGAATTTCCCATATCTTTCGCGTTCTCGATAACACATTGTCCAAAAATGTATTCTACCCACAAGTAAATGTTGTTCGATGGAGGCAACGACATAAGGCGGCGGGGCCTGATTTGAATCAGGGGCCTGTGACAACGTCTGCGTCTCTCCAGTGTCAGCTGCAATGTGAGCAATCTGTAACGTGTAAAACAAAATATATAATATGCCAATATGTGTATTGCAGATGCATGTCGTTTTGGAATTAAGCTTTTCAGCATAGGAAAATTAAAATGTGAAAAATATGGAAAATCGATAAAAAAGCAACTACTAGATTATGATACCTGTTGGGGGGGTCCAGTTATCGGTATTTGAGATTGCGTTCCAGATTGTTGCGTTAGGGTCGATGTTGCTGGAGAAAGGACCTGATCCATTGGTCTCATGTCGAATACATCCAAGGTATTGTTGATAATTGACTGATTCACGTATTCTGTTTATTAAAATTGATAATTTAATCGTCTGTTCTATAGAAGGATGCCCTATAAAATACACTTCTGTTACAAACATGCAGGTAACCAATGGAGCACTCATGTTACGCCAGCTGAAATGTTTATAAAAAAATCTATAGCAGGCGCGATAACAGAACAGCAGAATACCATGATTGGGTGGCGGCGCTGGATGATCTGGGATAGGGTCAGAGTTTTCGAAATCGATCAAGTTGTCGCCGCTTGGCTTCATTGCAGCCGTATTGTTGTTATTGATGGGACTCGAGCCATCGCCACTAGGCGGCGCAGCGGAAACGACGTTAGACTAAAAAGCGATTTTCGAACAGCAGAAAATACAGAAACATGCTTGTTAACAACTAAAAGAAATCAGGCGAAACTATAAATGACTATTGCTGGATCAACCTTGCGCAAAAAATTGCTAGATCTTTAGCTACCGTAGTACATCCGCGTAAGGCTGAGCAACATATTACGAAATAATTTCGTTTCTGACAACACGTGGATATGTTTTTAATGTCGGAATTATCCTACCATTGGAAGAGGCCGGTGATGCTCCGGTGGGGTCTTTCCAGGAAGATCGTTATAATAATCAGGATCTTTTGGGGGTAATGGTACAAACGGCGGGGCTGCAGGACCGCTGCCACTTCCTGAACTTGTTGCGCAGTTGCTTCCTTGGACCACAGGCGAGCGGCGCATTAATTCACGAAATCTGAATTGATCAGAACTGATGGTAAGTACAATTTAAAGGTTCCGGACACGTGTGTGATCTCTTAATTAAATTATAGATGAAGAATCAATTAGGCCAAAGTATGTTATGGGGCGCTACGGTTCTAACGTATATCCACGTTCCAGCTTTATAGAAATGAGCCATATGAAACCATAATGCTTTTTCCTCATACTTATTTTTTATCTCATAAACCTTTCAATACAGGCTTCGTAATCACTCGGTGGCTGGAAATCAACAAACTGAGGCTATTTACAGATGTAAATATAACTGACGTACCTTAATTCAAATGCCTGTCCAATAGTTGCAATAACTTCCTGAGCGAGTCCTCCACCACACTCGAGAACAAAGCATGCACGTGACTGTCTCGCATCTTTACCGACATATGCAACGAAGTCCAGCGTATCCTGATCTCCTCCTGTCGTAGAACAAGCGTAATGTATTTAATACCAAGTATTTAAATACATACACACATTATATAAATTCGAACCAAGATGCGTCTTGTACGTACGATTGATATGTTTCTTCACCACTAACGATACGTAATTTCTTAAATGACGTCAAGGTTGCCTGGCGCACATAGAAACTCATTCACTAACCTACAAATCAAATATGGCGGATAGTCTGCTTTCGATAACCTATTAACTAGACAGACAATATATTTGTTTGCGGAAAACGACCGTAAGGTATAAAACAATTGAAAGAACCGTTGAAATGAATCACTGGAGACTAGTCTCAATACGTAGGCCTATTTGTTTAGTAATAATGAGTCTTAAGATTCTCAAAAAAAATTCGAGGTAACAAATACTACTCAGTGATCGTACGAAAAGTCGTTATTTGACATTTATAATGGCTGCTGGTTAACAATTATTATATAAACCGCAGCAGTTCAGACGTCTAAATCTCCAATTGTATGGCAACATCTATTGGCTCGACCTATCTTTAGACTCACGGATTTTATGAAAGAATAAAGCACATCTAAAAAACTGAGCACCTGAAGCGAAGCTGATGTTAGGCATCGAATGCGACGCCACCGACTGGTTTGTTTCAAGGTCCGTTAGCGAGAGAGATGATGAGTTGATTCGGAGTGACACATTTGCTCCTGTAAGCGAACAGGATAACTGTTATTATTTTTTCGGTCTATTGCCATTCGAATAGTACAAAGGCTCATTCAGGAACTATAAGTGTTTAGATTCGGCTTTCTGGCGCTCCGAAACGAATTTAGACCTGTAAAACTAAAAAAAAAAGTAGGATTAAAGCAAATTTCTTTCGAACAGAACAACACTGAGCACAAACGAACTTACCTGCGTGCTCCATAATGGGTTTTTCTGCCAGAACGCGATTAAGTCGCCTGTCGATTTTTCGTTTTCTATCGGCTGATCGAAGACCAGCCGACTCACATACACGCACGATACATTCTCTGAAATCATTTTAACCGAAAATCATCGTTGCTATATACGTTTCAATCATTTGTTAGAAAGTATAATTGATTGAATCTGACAGCCATGCAAGAACCTTTCAGAAGCCTTTAAAAAAGACTGAAAACTTATCATCTATTCTATTTTCACTGCCGTGACAAGAACTTCGGCGCCTACGCAATGAGTCTGAGTCATAATAATATTGAAAGGCCAGTAATTTACCTGTAAGGGCAAATGTTTGATGACTCCAGTACTTACGTATTTCATCAAAACACGTTGACTAATTATAACTATTCATAATCAGCCATGTGCTCTTCATTCAAGTGAATCTCTCTAATATTGGATGTGAGGTCCTAAATGCCACATGGTTGTCAGCTCATCAAGACAATAATGAACACCTGATAGCTAATGAAATCGGTGGGGTTTCTATCTAATAAATTGGCAGAAATAATTAGCTGAAAAAAGAAAGCAGGTATAAATCACTCGAAAGAAAAATCCACACCTACTTGGCTATAAGCGTACGCGTGTCGAAGTCTAAACTCTTCATCGACGTAAGCACTTCCAGACAGCCAACGTACTGCAACGAAAAGTATTAATTTTTAGCTAATTAATTATGGAGAAATAAAGACCCGGGCCACCGACGCGGCGGTCGTCAACAAATTTGGGAATCTAAGATTTCCTGTGAAAGAGATCCATGCTTAGAGGGCAGCAGTGAACCAGCTAAAAAAAAGCCATATCTCTGTTCGCAAGAAGCCATCAGACCAAGTGCGTCTCACCCGTCTTTCATATATGTATATAGGTCTCGCTGAGCTCATCAAATAAAGATTTTATAATGGCATCTCTATGGATTTTCTTCTGTGGAAGCCTTGGAAAAATGCAATGTGCTGCCATGTAGGTACATTGCATTAAATCATTCCGATTGGATAAATGTTTTAAATATAGCTATTGTAAAAACCTTTTGATGTAGAAATGATCGTATTGTATATATATATATATATATATATATATATATATATATATATATATATATACATATACTACATGTATAGTTTTGCTAGAAAATAACTGTTGCTTAACGTCGTCTGATTCGTTTAACTGTTACAATTCTGCTTTCTGCAATTCTGAATGTACCCGTTCGCGTAGTAGTCGCAATCGTGGTAGTACTGGCTCAAGCCACGTCTTCAGACATCTGTTTTACGATCACTGTCAGACCAACAAATCTCTTGACTGAGAAACTGTCCTACGTAAATCTCTCGCAATCGACAGTGACGACATCATCCGAATGCCACTATTGCGGTCTCTCTGTTAAAGTATCTGGTCGCTGCATAAACAACTAGTTTATTAACAGTTCCGAGTGAATCATGTTTACAAGTTTTACGATCCACCTTTTCCCGAATAGCAAGTTAGTAGGTTGCCGGGAAACGCCATTTGTGGTTATTCGACATTTTGATTGGTCCCTTTTTGATGAATGAATTCATTCACTTCGTTGCAGAACTTTGCTAACTTCAGTCCTTATGATAATATAATAAGCTATTCGTTCTTATTGAACAACACTGTAGTGGTCGTGCAAAACTTAGAATTTCTACAACACATTTGGAGAAAATTATACAATTTCGATATAGAGAAAATGCACAGTTCGCTAGTATAGACCTTGTTCTGTTAGACGTTAGGTCAGGCGCCAACTTAAGCACGCTAAGTGCAGAGCGTCGCACTGAACAAACACCAGACATATTGGAAGAAAAAGAGAATGAATGGACTCGCCTCAACTGTAGCAGACTTCTGTACGTCTATATGGAAAAAAAGAGCGAGGTCGTCAAAGTCCTTTCGTGCTGCTGCTGCTGTGCGACAGTGCTCTGCGCTATCCGGAAAATGAAAGGAGCGCTCCCCAGACGTTGACGTCACTTTACCTGACGGGCGTGCCCGATGCTGCTGCGGTTCATGTTGATGATGATCATCATAACGATGGATATGTGTAGATGGCATCATCCTCGCCGTCGCCTTCGGGCTGTAAATTCTTGTCTGTCTTTTTTGCGAATGAGAAAGGGCGCTACGCTGTACAGGTAGTACTGTTACTTCCGCAACGGCGGCGGCCGCAGGAGCAGTAGCAGGTCAGAGATGATGTTGGGGATGCGCGGGCGTTGTAATTTGCACAACTGTTCGATTAGACCCCTCGCATATGTAACCCGGCCCAATAGTAGAAAAAATAATGTATGGGTTCGTGTGTACGAGGTAGATGGGTGGGTAGATGGGCATGCGAGTCCATGGCCACAGCCGCGTGTCCTACGTGTGTGAGTGGTTGACTGGGTCGCGGATCGGGTATGTGGCTGGATGGAAATGCCTAGGAAAGAGAGAGGGAATAACGACGACGACGACGACGACGACGACGACGACGACGACGACGATGACGACGACGACGACAACGATGACGATGACGAGGACGACGACGACGACGACGACGACGGCGACGGCGACGACGGCGACGGCGACGGCGACGGCGACGACGATGACGACGACGAGCCTCGGCCGCCGACAGTCGACGTCATCAGGGAGTGTAGAAGAGGAGCTGAGTATGTTGGCGGCAGCGACATCGACAGCAGCAGCAAGGTCTGCATGAAGCAGGCGAATGAGTGACTACACAGTCGAGTCTTAGGCGATTTTCAGGCCGATGTGCCCACGAGAGTCTTGTGAACGAAGCAGAGGTTTAAGCAAACAAATAAAAATTTTGCACTTACAGACATTTACGCACTTAGAATATGCCAATAAAGTGAAACAAGATTAAATCAAATTGTCTGCTATGCAGATAATGAAGAAACAAGTGCATGCCGCTTGCGTACGATCTGCATGATCATTTTGTTGAAAATGACAAAAGCTAGTCGTTGAATAAACTCAGGATGATCTTGCTTAAATGAAGCAACAACGGAACTGATGCGGTTTCATCTTCGCAATTGTCATCAAATCCTCATATAAATCCACTTGATTTCGTTCAATGCAGGACATAACAGGCACAACGCTTTTTTAGAAGCTAACAATTCAAGCAGGTCGATCGGTGGCTTATAACAATCTATAGCCACAAAAATATTCAACATAAGGACAAAGCCAAAACGATATAGAAATAAAACTTACTACGATCGAACATTTTAAACACGCTTCCACAAATGAGGACATAAGTGCGACAGAATTTTTCGCCTGTGAAAATCTACCTCAGACTGTATCTTATAGGACCAAATCATAGAATTCAGTTCCGTAATTTAAGTAAATGTCGAACGTTCCGATACACGTGACTATGCCAGCAAATTCGCGCTATAGCCTTCGTTTAAGTAACAAACAGATTTTCCATCAAGCACGACCCACGCTTCAAATAACGTTCTCATGCACATAATACTATGGTTTGGTACACTAGTTACAAATTCATCGTTATAGTTCTATTTGAGCTGCTGCATCTGCGATTCTAGTAAATAAGTGTACATAAAAAAGCGTCTCCTGAGTTCAACAGGTAAGAATTTGCCAACCGAACAATTAAATTGTTAAAATGAATCCGCTACATAAGCCATATTGCAGTGTTAATTCTGTATTCAACTCAACGCGATCGATACTACGAAATCTTGAACTGTTTCTATCCTTAACGCTTATAGACCGATGATGGCATACAATCACCAACGCGTCTGTGTTAGCAAAAAGCAACAAAAGGTCACTATATTTATTATGTTTCTGAGAGAACTAATGAAACAAACAAAATCCTATTCAAGTATTTTGCTGCGGCCCAGATCACGTATCCGATAAAGAAAAAAGCCAAAACTGGAATCGCCTCACCAACGCTGGCTCAAGGATCAGTTGAGAGGCTACGCTTTCCAGAGCGGGGCTGGGTTCGCTGACGCTTGGAGCTTTGGATCATGGTCATGGAACACGACAGCCCAGACACTAGATATGAATATATTATGTAAACTGTGTGTCTCGCTTTGAGCGGTCTGTGTTGAATAAGTAAACGAAATCAAGTCATCGACTCTATTGCACGCCCTCGTCAGACAGTGCTATAATACATATTTTACTCCGTTTAAATTCAACAAATGATCAAAGTAAAAAGTGTTCTGCCAATACTTTTCATGTTTGCGTGCGTCTATGTAGTCATAAAGAGAACGTCTCGTTCCGAAAGAATTCAAACGGAACCAAAGGAAAGCCAAAGATGTTGGTTGGTTTTGCTATGCACAATAAGACCCCAGTCGGGAGGGCGTGATGCGCACATAGGCGAGGTTACCGTTACACGTTTATGCAGCAAAATGGCACGGTTTTTATTACCTTACCGTCACAAGTTCACACAGACAATTTCACATATCTGGCAGACTCAATACATCAAATCAGTGTAACAAATAATATATATTTTGTTCATGGAACACTAAGCACAACACAAAATTGCACTCCAACAATGATA